AAATTACAAGAAAGAGAAAAATGAGGAAAAGCTATACAACCCACTGAATATAATAAAGGATATAAACCACCAGCTAAAGCAATCACAGTGTTTCCCAAATATTAAATGTTCCTTAAACAATGGACCTTAGGTATAGATTTTCTCTATAGCATGCAAAATTCCCTAAAGCTATCAGCAATACCCAGAAGGCTGCTAGAAATGTAAACTGGGGCTGGGTGTGGTGGCTCACACATGTAATCCCAGCACTTTAGGAGGCAGAGGCACATTGGTCATCTGAAGTCAGGAGTTTGAGACCAGCCTAACCAATATGGTGAAACCCTGTCTCTACTAAAAATACAAAAATTAGCCAGGTGTGCCAGGAGCGGTGGCTCATGCTGGTAATCCCACCACTCTGGGAGGCCTAGGCAGGTGGATCACCTGAGGTCAGGAGTTTGAGACCAGCCTGACCAACATAGAGAAACCCGTTTCTACTAAAAATACAAAAATCAGCTGGGCATGGTGGCACGTGCCTGTAATCCCAGCTACTGCAGAGGCTGAGGCAGGAGAATCGCTTATCGCTTGAACATGGGGAGGCAGAGGTTGCAGTGAGCCGAGATCTCGCCATTGCACTCCAGCTTGGGCAAGAAGAGCAAAACTCCGTCTCAAAAGAAAAAAAAAATAGAAATTATATATATATACATATATATGTATATGTATACATATATATGTGTATATATATATACATATATATATATATATATTAGGTGTGGTGACTCATGCCTGTAATCCCAGCACTTTGGGAGGGTGAGGCATGCAGATCACGAGGTCAGGAGATCGAGATCATCCTGGCTCACACGGTGAAACCCCATCTCTACTAAAAACACAAAAAGTTAGACCGCGGTGGTAGTGGCACGCGCCTGTAGTCCTAGCAACTCAGGAGGCTGAAGCAGGAGAATCGCTTGAACCTGGGAGGTCGAGGTTGCAGTGAGCCAAGATCATGCCACTGCACTCCAGGGTGACAGAGCGAGACTCTGTCTCAAAAAAAAAAAAAGAAAAAGAAAAAAAAAGAAAGGCCTGGCGCGGTGGCTCATGCCTGTAATCCCAGCACTTTGGAAGTCCGAGGCGGGTGGCTCACGAAGTCAGGAGTTTGAGACAAGCCTCGCCAAGATGGTGAAACCCCATCTCTACTAAAAATACAAAATTAGCGGGCGAGGTGGTGAGCGCCTGTAATCCCAGCTACTCGGGAGGCTGAGGCAGGGGAATCGCTTGAACCTGGGAGAAGGAGGTTGAAGTGAGCCGAGATGGCGCCATTGCACTCCAGTCTGGGCGACAGAGTGAAACTCCGTCTAAAAAACAAAAGAAAAGAAAGAAGAAGAAAGAAATTAAGAAAGAAATGCAAACTGGCAAACTGGTAAACTGGTAGCCCCCATGTCAGACCCATCCGAATCTCTGGGGATGGGGCCTAGGAGGCTGTGTTTTAACAAACTCTCCAGGTGAAGTCTGATAAGCCCTGCTCTACTGCAAATTAGAGCCTCACAGATTGGCAGGATATTCCAATCATGGCAGAATAAATGGATGACGGTAAAGAAAAAAAAAGGCGTTTTTTCCCCAATGTTCACAGATGTTCATGTTCCTATCTTACTGCTTTCCAGCCACCCTTTAGCCCTGTTCTTACCAGCTAGATTGTTGTAGCAGTCTGTCTGGGTGGTATGCAGTACGTTTTCTTGTTCAGGGGTGAGGGCGGGGCCCTGAGGCCCGAGATTAGGTATCGGAGAGGGCACACTTGGATCCAGACCCCGCAGCTGAAGCAGAGCTCGATGATACCTACTCACAGCATCTCGGTACTTCCCTTCCCGGTAGCGTTGGTTCCCTTCCTCCTTGTACAGCTGAGCCTCCTGCAGACGCTTCTCCATAACTGTCGCCAAGGGTTCTTGTGGAATTGGGAAGTGAAGGAGGAACTGAAGCTCTGGGGTTGGGAGGAAAATAACGGATTCTAATAGCCAATTTAAAAAGGCAGGAAATTACCCTTCTCCTGGAGGATGCACGCCACAGGGACCTGCGGTTTGCTGATTTCGACTCACAGCTCCACCTCGCCTTTCTGCAGTCTTTTTCGTTAGAAGTGCAGGAAAAGTACGTAGGAAGGCGATGTGGGAATAATGAAGCCAAATATTAAGTGACTTCCTAAAGAGGCGATGCCGGGGTAAGACTTCCCGAAAAAGCCAGGCAAGGCCCTACTCAGAAATTGTGGCGGGCGTGAGAACGCCGGGCAAATTGGAGTCAGCCTTTCTTCTGGACACGCCCCCTGACCTGGAAGTAGAAGAGAGTAGGTGGGACTACTGCTAAAAGAAGTCCAGAGGACTTGCAGCAATTCCAGTTCTTTATTCTTCCTAATTCAACATTTATTTGTTGACGTCAGTGCTATAAATTGGGAAGCCGAGGTGAATGAGGTGCGTGCACCTCAACATACAAGCGAGTCTGAGGTGTCCGCATAAACGTCACAGCTGCAAGCCCACTCGGCGCTGCAACCAGTTTCTCGCCCTCTGCAGATGCCCAGGCCCGGAAGTCTCCTGGGCTTCGGTTTACCGGCGGGAGCAAGGAGAGGAAAGGGTCAGATTGGATGGCTTGGTTATCTTAAAGGATCGCGCCCATTGCGCCACGCCGCCCAATCAGAAGAAGCGCCGGAAAAATAATCCCGCAGAAACGACCCCGCCTCCCCAGCGGACCAACCCGGGGGGGGGGGGGGGGAAGAGGGGGGGGGGGGGGGGGATAAAATCCCCTGCGGCTTCGCCAATTGGAAAAATCCAGACGATCATGGATGACCAATTGGAACGGCAAATGACGATTTAAGTTGTCCAATAAGAGAAAAAGGGCGGGGTCAGGGCGTCTGTTGCTGGGTAGAAGTTTGAGGCAGTGAGGAAAAAGGAGGACCCAGGATTACTGTTTCTTGGTTCTGGAGAGCCCTTTTACTTCCTTGCCAGAAAAATAATTGGTAGTAGGCTTACATGTTGCAACACATTCTCTTCAGACTTTTTTCGTTGCTAATGCTGCAAACATAGTAGGGAAAAGGCTAGGACTCCTAAGACGCCGCAGCAATTGGAAGTCAGACGGAAGTAAGGGTGGTGGGAGGGGCATGGCATCGGGGAGCTCAGGGCGGCTGCGCAGAACCCGCCAGCTGGAAGTACGGACAGACCGGCGCGCACACGCTTCCGTGCTACGAGGCACTTGAGCGGCCGCCAGCCTTGCTCGTCTTGGACTCCAACTGCGGCTGCGCGGTAAAAGCTTCGGCGGCGATTGGCCCGGGGGCTCCAAGGGGCGGGAGGAACACCGTCGTCCTCCGCGCGCTCCTGCCCGCGGCTGGGGAACCGAGGGCCTGGAAGGGAAGCGGCTTCCCGCTGCGTTGTTTTGGGCTACGTGAGCCGAAAGGGGGAGGGGAGAGGAAGGAGAACCAAACACTGCGCAGCGAGACCGTGCACGGCCTCCGCTTCTGCGTGCGTGCGCTCGCTTGCGCGGGCTCAGTGCTGGCGCGTGAGGCGGAGGCGGGCGGCGGCGGCGGCGGCGCCTGCGCGGTCGGGCTTGGTCGACGGTTCGCAGGGGAGGAGGCGGCGGGAGGCGGAGGAGGCGGCGGCGGCGATGGAGGTGAAGCGGCTGAAAGTGACCGAGCTGCGGTCGGAGCTGCAGCGGCGGGGCCTGGACTCGCGCGGCCTCAAGGTGGATTTGGCGCAGCGGCTGCAAGAGGCGCTGGACGCCGAGATGCTCGAGGACGAGGCCGGCGGCGGCGGGGCCGGGCCCGGCGGGGCCTGCAAGGCGGAGCCTCGGCCTGTGGCCGTGTCGGGCGGCGGCCCGGGCGGGGACGAGGAGGACGACGAAGAGGAGGAGGAGGAGGACGAGGAGGCGCTGCTTGAGGACGAGGACGAGGAGCCACCCCCTGCTCAGGTCTCGGGTCAGGCCGCGCAGCCGCCACCGGAGCCCCCGGAGGCGGCAGCCATGGAGGCCGCGGCGGAGCCCGATGCTTCCGAGAAGCCGGCGGAGGCTACGGTCGGGTCAGGTGGGGTAAATGGTGGTGAAGAGCAGGACCCCGGCAAGGGGGAGGAAGACGAACCCGAGGAGCGGAGCGGGGACGAGACGCCGGGATCCGAGGTGCCGGGTGACAAGGCCGCCGAGGAACAGGGTGAGGAGCTGGCAGCCGATCCCGGCTCCAATCTGCGGGCTGCGCCTGTGATCTAGCACCCCGCCCTGCACCGCGGGGTCCGAGTCCTTGTTCTCGCTTGCCTGAAAGTGCAAGATTCCCATCGCTTCGTTTCATTCTCTGTCCACCTTTCTGAGGGGTTAGGCCGCCTCTTATGGCTCTACTTTTTGCAGGAGGAAGCTTCCTGCCTAACTTGGTTCCTTGGTGATAGTGGATGGCAGTGAGTGATTTTGCGTGCGAGCTGCTTGTGAGCTACCTGTGGAACAGTCTCCCACGGTGCTTGTTATGTTTTTCTTAGCTTGGGGATTACACGGAGAGCTAGGCCCACAGTTAGAGGTTCGGGCCTTTAGGCTATCTGACTGTTTACTTTTTCACTGTAAAAAAATGTTAAACAAAAATCGAAGTTCGTCAGAGTCCGCTCTGTCCAAAGCGTGTTACCAGAGCTTGAGCCACAGAGAATCTGGAAATCTAACCTTACTCCTCTTTGAGCTGTAGGGGACAGCCTCTGGTGTAACAGTGTCGAGCTTAATAGTTAACCAGTGAAGAGAAAATCTTTAGTGCATTTAGAGTTAGTTAACATTACTTGACTAGGGTTTTTAACTTATTTGGATTATGATTAAATTTTAATTGTCCCACTGAGTCCGTGGATGGGCATGTTTGTGGATTTGCTGAACACCTGGTACTACTAGCCTTTTACATTTCAGGTCTCTGGCTTCCTGAATGGTAATGATTGAGGTGCTTGTGAGTCCGTTGAGTAACCTTGTGGAAGAGGTGTGTTGTTGAATCACCCCAGGGAGTTAATGACCTTTCTCCTTTTGAAGTGATTGGTTAGAACTGATCCATAACACTGTGTGTCTGAGTAAGAAGGGTAATTCTTACTATACAGTGGGTTGCCGTAGTTCTTTTGTTAGTCCTTTTTTTAGGCCACTACCAAGAATCGTGGTATAATCGGAACCCATTGTACGGCAATCACATGCAACTTGCAGACTGTCCTATGTCCTGGAACAAAAATCCCGTTACATAACCTTTGACTTGTGTGTATCCCAAAGAGCAGATAAAAAAAAAAATTGAAGGATAGGCTGGTTGCGGTGACTAACGCCTGTAATCCCAGCACTTTGGGAGGCCGAGGTGGGTGGATCACCTGAGGTCAGGGGTTCGAAACCAGCCTGGCCAACATGGTGAAACCCTGTTTCTACTAAAAATACAAAAAACTAGCCGCACGTCATGGTGGACACCTGTAATCCCAGTTACTTGGGAGACTGAGGTGGGAGAATGGCTTTAACCTGGGAGGCAGAGGTTGCAATGAGCCGAGATCTCACCACTGCACTCCAGCCTGGGCACAACAGGAGACTCCGCCTTAAAAAAAAAAAAAAAAAATTGAAGGATAAAGGACTGCTTTAAAGAAACTATTATTAAAAACCTTCTTAGTGTTGCAAAATACTAAATCTTAGGGAAAAAGTCCAGGTTTTTTCTCTTGATTAGAAGTATAGATTGTTGCTAAATATACAACAACACCTTTCTGCCCCAAATTATGTGCAGTGTAGATGCAGTATTATTTATGGATCTCTTGTGACTTAGTAGTTTGCTCTTGCAATTTTCGGTAGAAGTTCCTGATAAAAATACAGCTGTGTGTCATGCACTTGGGTCCATTTGCCATATGAATAAAGCCATGGGTGGCTGTGCATTTTAATGCAGGAAAGGGAAATTAAAAAATATCAGGCTTCTCTGAATCATGAAGTTGTAGAAAAGTGTTACAAAATTCGTATTAAGTGCCTACCTTGAATCTAGATCTGACAAGATTCAAAATTAACCTTTGAAGTTTTTTTAGAGACCTAGGGGATATTTTTTTAATGTCATATTGATGGGGAAATCTACAAGTTTGACCTGATTTAAGCAGATAAATTTAGAATGCAAAAATTTTCCAATTTTTATCTACTGCTTGACTGTAATTAGCCCATAATGTCCCTTTTTTAAAAAATAAAATCAGCCAGTGACAGAAAGATGGTCTTTAGAAATCAAATGCTCTGTGAATGTAGTGAGAATAAGCTGGCTATTTTGATCAAACAGATTCTCAGATTCCCCACTAGCGTCTGTTAGTTCTGAGCTTATTCTATACTCTAGTATGAAAACTGCTGATTTTCTTTCCCTCCTTTTTGTAGGAGATGACCAAGATAGTGAAAAGTCAAAACCAGCAGGCTCAGATGGTGAGCGGCGGGGGGTAAAGAGACAGCGGGATGAGAAGGATGAACATGGCCGAGCTTACTATGAATTCCGAGAGGAGGCTTACCACAGCCGGTGAGGGAAACAGTCCCTTTCCTGAAAGGGAGTGTCTGCTCTGATTTTGGTATACCTGGTATTGACTGGAGAGACTGGAAGGAGGGTGGATTCAAAATGGAATAGGTTTTTATAGGCATGAGTTTTAGATTGCATATACCATGGAAGCTCCTATTACCCTTTCTCATTTGTTGAAAAAGCTGTCTGCTGGGATTTGATATTCACTGATAGTATAAAATGGATGTAATGTCAAACACATACCTCTCAAAGAGAGGGCTTTGTATACATTGTGTTTCTTTTCTATCTCACATGTGTAGCTCAAAGTCTCCACCGCCTCCTGAAGAAGAGGCAAAAGATGAGGAGGAGGATCAAACTCTTGTGAACCTGGACACGTGTATGTATAAGGCAGACAGATTGTGTTTTAACTAATCTCCTATAAGTGATTTTGGAGATTAAAACTTCATAGCCCATAAATTCTATGTGACTTTGTATCCACTTCAACAACTGGCTATACTTGTGCTCTGTTGGTGGCTTAAAAGTATTGGGCATTGGAGTAAACTGATTGCTTCTTTCTTTACAGATACCTCCGATCTGCATTTTCAAGTAAGCAAAGACCGCTATGGAGGGCAGCCACTTTTCTCAGAGAAGTTTCCCACCCTTTGGTCTGGGGCAAGGAGTACTTATGGAGTGACAAAGGGAAAAGTCTGCTTTGAGGCAAAGGTAGCTCACTAAGACCATTTATTTATTCCTAGGTACTTATGGTTCTTAGAGAAAAAAAGTTGTGTTTTTTTTTTTGTTTTTTTATTTTTGAGACAGAGTTTCACCCTTGTTGCCCAGGCTGGAGTGCAATGGTGCAATTTTGGCTCACTGCAATCTGTGCCTCCCAGGTTCAAGTGATTCTCCTACCTCAGCCTCCTAAGTACCTGGGATTACAGTCATGTGCTACCATGCCTGGCTAATTTTGTATTCTTAGTAGAGACGAGCTTTTTCCATGTTGGTCAGGCTGGTCTCGAACTCCTGACCTGACCTCAGGTGATCTGCCCGCCTCGGCCTCCTAAAGTGTTGGGATTACAGGAATGAGCCACCGTGCCCGGCTGAGAAAAAAAAAAAGATTTTTAAAAAAGACCATTCATTTATTCATTAAACTGCTACCTATGTATACTGGACTTTTGTCCATCAGACTTTTATTAATGCAGGTAGGAAAAAGCACTGTGCTTTAACAATAACTTTAGTTTTAGTAACCAAGAAATGAATCCCTATGGCTTTGGTTTAAGTTCAGTGACTGTTACTCTGATGTTGAGTTGTGATAGTAGTTGTTTTCAGTTTGTATAAAAATCTTGTCTTTCTAACTCAGAGTTTGCTACTCAGTTGGTCACAGTATCTAATAGTTCCCTTCTTGACTTGGCCAGGTAACCCAGAATCTCCCAATGAAAGAAGGCTGCACAGAGGTGTCTCTCCTTCGAGTTGGGTGGTCTGTTGATTTTTCTCGTCCACAGCTTGGTAAAGTTATTTTTTAACTTCCTCATTAGTGTTTACTACCATATTGCTTGCTCTATGAAAAGTTGGGATGTAGGGAACTAATTTGTTGACTGTTCCAGGTGAAGATGAATTCTCTTACGGTTTTGATGGACGAGGACTCAAGGCAGAAAATGGACAGTTTGAGGAATTTGGCCAGACTTTTGGGGAGAATGATGTTATTGGCTGCTTTGCTGTAAGTGCTCCTGAAAGCTGTGGGTCATAACAAGGAGTGGATAGAGGGCACCGGGAATTCACTTGTGTTTTCCATCAACTGCTGGCTTTTATGCATTTGATGTATGGCTCAGTTAGTTATGTGGTGCAGCAGTCTGCGTGAAAAAGATTAAATTGTAAGGCTTAATCAACCTCAAGCCTTGTCAGCCAATAAGTGCTCTTGTCCTTTATCATTATAGAATTTTGAGACTGAAGAAGTAGAACTTTCCTTCTCCAAGAATGGAGAAGATCTAGGTGTGGCATTCCAGATCAACAAGGAATCCCTGGGAGACCGGGCCCTTCTACCCCATGTCCTCTGCAAAAATTGTGTTGTAGAATTAAACTTTGGTCAGAAGGAGGAGCCCTTCTTCCCACCACCAGAAGAGTTTGTGTTCATTCATGCTGTGCCTGTTGAGGAGCGTGTGCGTACTGCAGTTCCTCCCAAGACCATAGAGGAATGTGAGGTATACCAAACAGTATGCAAACATTTAGGGTGTGTGCTTTGCAGTGGTGGGTGCATGTGCTTTCCCAGGTCTTAAAGTGTTACCAAACGGGAATGGGGAAGATGTTTTTAAATTGGATTTGATAAACATGATGCTCACTTATTTTTCATTGTACTTCTGGTTTTATTTGCAGGTGATTCTGATGGTGGGACTACCTGGATCCGGAAAGACCCAGTGGGCACTGAAATATGCAAAAGAAAACCCTGAGAAAAGATACAATGTCCTGGGAGCTGAGACTGTGCTCAATCAAATGAGGGTAAGTTGCTGTTGGGGATTCATCAGATACAGTATTTGCTCTTCAGATACCAGGAGATCTTACAACCTATCTTCAATGGAGAGTTAGTCTCAAGTGTCTGAAAACAAGGGTCCCACAAATAGAGAAATGAAATTTTCTCTATATGTGTTTTAGGTGGATTGATTTTGTTTGTTTGTTTGTTTTCTCTGCTGTGCTATCAAATTTCTGAAAGCAGTTAGGATCTGAAATACATCCAGGTTAAGACTGGAAATGACTACTGCAGGAAATGGACAACATTCACAGCACTGAAGGATAGGAAGGGAGTGATACAATAAAGTCAGTATTTAAAGAGGTGACGTTTACCAATAACTTGTTATATAACTTGTGGTTTTTTTTTTTTTTTTTTTTTTTTTTTTT